AACGTGCTCAAGCTGTAGGTGCTCTGGTTATTAGAGAACCGGTAGCTGGACTGTTCAGATCCAAAGGCAAAGCAGTGGATCCATGAAACTGGGGAGCTGCTGGCATTGATGATTCAGAATTAGATATTGATAGACAGTGTGATGCTATCAATACTTGGAATGCGGTGCATAAGGGCCGCGGGAGGGGGCAATGCTCGCTAAAGCATTCCTCTAACACCTTGGATGAATCCCGATTAGGCAAGAAGCATATGGCTGACAATAGGCAAGTCATGATCAACCGCCTGAATGCCTTACAGGCCATGGCAACTGAAACTGAGGCTGTCCTCCCATCCAGCTGTACAGTAGAAGATGCTACTGTATGAAAAGATAATCACATTAAATTATCTAAGTATACTAAGTCGAAGGGGAAGAAATCCTCTAAGGCTCCCAAGCTCGGGGAGACTGCTGCAGAGAACGCTACCAAGCATCACCGTCACAAACCCCATATGGGTTACAGGCATGGGGACTCTACCCTATGACTGGTGAATCAGATTCACTGCAAAAGCTTCATCAGCTGTGCCTTTGAGTGCATGAACTCAAAGGACCACCCAGAAGGGTTGGAGTCTGAACCTGAGTCTGCCGACAAATCAGAAACCTCTGGCAGCTCGGACAATTCATTGGACTCCAAATCTGAGCACCCAAGCTCCAGTTCGAGCTCGAGTAGCTCCTCAGGTGGCGAATGAGGGGGATCTCCCCCTTCATCATCATCATTGTCGTCCTCGACCGCATCAACGTCATCTGATGAATCAGACTGATGTACAAAAATTTCTAAGAAATCTAAGAGATCTAAGAAAAAGCGTGCATTGCGCAAACACTCTAAGCAATCTAGGAAATCTAGGGAGCAATCTTCCAAGATGCTCATTAAGCCTGATCTGCCTGATCCTTATGACGGTGCAGCAGATACCCGATTTTTAATAAATTTATGGGTGATGCCATCACATATGTTGAAGACAGCAAAGGTTCCTAAGAATAAGCAAGTTATATATATTTTGCATTATCTAATGGGAAGAGCCTACAACTTCTGCAATAGCTCCATCTCTGGTAATACAGAGAAATGGAGGCTATCTGAATTTTTTGCGGAATTATATGACTATTGTTTTCTAGTTAATTTCCAGGACACCTTGCATGATGGCCTTAGGCAGTGTTACCAGGACCATAAAATGGTCTGAGAGCATGTTTACAAGTCAACGAAACTCTTTAACATGATTGGAACGTATAGTAAGTGTGAAAAGGTCATCAAATTGTGGCATAGTCTACAAAAAGAGATACAGGCTGAATTATGGAAAAAGGCCTTACATCCCGACCACTCCTCATGGAAGACGGTCGTGAAGTGGGCTGAGTGGATGGAAGCATCTATTCACGCCAGCACAGCTGTACGAAGCCAGAACAAGGGCGGGAAACTGTCTGGAGGCAGCAGTGGCGGCGGCAGTAGCCACACCCAGAAACGGCAACTCAAATAGCCGAGAGGCTCAGAAGGGAATGCTGGAAATGGTAATTTGAAGAATAGCCATCAATGAAACAGACTTGGTAACTCAAAGATACCAAGTATGGTAATAATGGGTATGCCAAATTGGGCAATCAAGCCTCTGGACAGCCACAGTTGTCAGAGAAGGAGCGCAATGAATTGATTGCTGATGGTAAATGTTTCATTTGTAAGGAAACAGTACATCTATCGAGGAATTGTCCTAAGAACTACATGGTAAAGGGGAATCACACGGATAAGCCACCTGGAGTAACAAACTACCATGTAGGAATAGACCTTGGGGAAACCGATGCGCTGCGTGACCTCACGGAAATGACGGAAACCATTAATGAGCTTATGCTTGGTATGATGGACATGGTGTTAGCAGCAGGCAGAACAGGGAAGCATAAGATGGGTGGCCATAAGCACACCAGGCTGAGACACATACACAAACTGAAGGCAAGGTCAATTGCACGGACTAAGGAACAAAGGAAATACAGTGGCTCAGTACATAGTCAAGCTGTTTGTACCTATTTGTCCCAGTGGCTCTACATCCAATACAACCAAAACCTAACACTCCCACCTTGTGAGGATGCAGAAGAAACCAGCTCCCACCTAAAACCACAAACAGGCATCCCTCACATACCCCTCCAATAATAGCAAAACAAAAAGGCATCAACAACTCCCACGTAACCAAAGACCTCAAACAATCCAGCAGGAACATGGCAGAGAGAGAAAGAGTTGCAGGAAACCCAATGATTCAGAAAGAGTGGGAAAATCAAGACAACAGGCTTGAAGAACTCCCCTATGACCCATAGACTTCACAACTCCTCTTTCCCAGAGATCCTTCCAACATAAGAACTGCCCCAAACCCAGAGTCTTCTCTCCTATTCCCCAACCACCTTTCCAGTCCTCTAACCCAACCCATATCCAACTGCTGAAGGCAGAGAGCCAAGGGGAGCAGCGAAAAAGGGGCACCTTCCTAATTAGGAAATGGGACAAAGCGGCCATGGCTGAGCCACAGAGAGCCACTCCAAAGAGCAACAGATGGATGAATGTTGATGAAAATGGATGGAGCCTGATGACACGAATGAAATGCCAGATCGAAGCTAAGGTCTGAGACCTTTGCTATCGCGGCTTATATATTGCAGAATGTCCAAATATACTTGTACATGCATTAATGGAAAGGTTTACATGAGTATCTAAGAGAATGTGGAAACCAGTCGTTATTGATGTAGAATAGTTTATGATCGGTGAGGTAGCAATGCGTAAATAATAAATGATCGTGAAAGGGTTTTTTAAGATGAAATATGCATGGTTGCAATGTCTGTGCAGTTCTGTGTGCGTGTGTCAAACACGTGTGATCGTGAAAAGTGTTTTGATCGTAACATTACCCCCTCCTCCAGAATCGCGTCCTCGCGATTAGTGTTGTGCACCTCCGCGTCTGGCAACTTCTAATTCGATGATTCCCCCCAGACTTGGTCTGCATTGGCCAACTATTTCAAGGGAGTCGCGAGATCTTTGCCGATAGATGAGGATGGTAAATGTGATGCTGACTCCTGCAATCGTGGCAACTAGCGCGGCGAGTATAATGAATAGGACGATGTTTGAGGTCGGTAGTGTGAGCATGGTGTGATGGTGGTTTGTGATGGATGTTGATTGACGGTGTGCGTCCCAAAAAACAATTCGGCTATTTCCGATTGCGTCATTGATGGTAAATCGGTAGCTTTCTTTGTTCTGTTCATCCACCGTTCGTAGGTGCTTGTCCATTTGTCCCATTCATCATCATATGAAATTTCTTTTTTCTTTTTCTGATAATTTTACATTCCTCAATGCCCCAGGCACAGTGATCATGGGCATCCTTGCGGCGTCAGGGTTTTGTCTATGGAAATCATCAATCAGGCTTTTGTATTGCCCAATTAAGCTTGATCGCGGTTCCCATGTGTCTTCTGATCTTGGTTTGTTTTCCCAGCATACTAAATATTGTAATCCGCCTCGTCATACTCTTGAATCTAGGATTTTCTCCACTTTTGTTTTGATAGCAATAATATTGGGAATAGTTTGTGTCGGTTTTTGATTAGGGAATTCTTGCGTACAGTAGGGCGTAAGGAGCACTTCGTTAAATACAGGATGGATCTTCCATGCTTTAGGCAACTTGAGCTTATAGGCACTGTTTCCGACCTTCTTGACGATTTCGAATGGTCCATATCGTTTGTCGTCAAGTTTTTTGTTTGGTCGATCTGTGCTTATGTTGATTGCTTCAAGCCAGACCTTATCCCCTTCATTATGATTTACCGGTTCTCGTTTCCTGATGTCCCATTTTTCCTTCATGTACTCCTTGGTGAGTTTGAGAGCGGCCAATGCTTCTTCTTGCAGCTTCTTCATCCTTGTGACAAATTGGTCTGCTTGTTCGCTCTTCATCTCCTTCCGAGTTTCCACTCCAGTGTAAGGGTGATATCCGTGGGTTAAATAAAAAGGAGAGTATCCAGTTGCTGAGTGTTGTCTATTGCAATGGATGAATTCGCAAATCGGTAACCATTCAGGCCAATCGGTCTGTCGATAATTTATGAACATTCTTAAATAGTTTTCGATTTCTTGATTGATTTGTTCGGTTTGTCCATCAGTTTGTGGGTGGTACGCCGTACTGGGGTTTCCTTGTATTCCCAGCTTTTTGTACATGTCTTTGATGAACTGCGAGATGAATTGAGGTCCTCTGTCTGACGTGATACGTTTGGAAAGCCCGTGCTTTGACCAAACGTGTTTGATATACATATTTGCCCAGCCTTCTTGAAGTCAATTCATCCGTGGTTGGTACTGCAACGAAATCTTTGGACTTCATGTCAACTATCACGATTATAGCATTATATCCTTGTGAAAGTGGTAAATGTGTGATCATGTCTACGGATATATATTGCCAATTCCTTTCAGGAATAGGATTAGGATGTAGAGGTGCAGCCGTCTGCTGATGATTTATTTTTGTTTTTTGACATATGTCGCATCCCTTTACATAAGCTTTCATGTCTCTCTTGATGTTATGCCACCAATAAGATCTATAAATTAATTCCTGCGTTTTCATCTGACCAGGATGTCCAGCAGAAATTGAATCATGATGCGAAGCAATAATTAAACCTCGAAGTGATTTGTCATTGGGGATAACAATTCGCCCCTTCCTCCAGATCAGGCTGTCCTCAGTCTGAGAGAAATCCTTGTCTTTTTGTAGTATTTTTGATTTTATGGATTCTTCATAATTATGGACATGTGATAATATTTTGGTTTTTAAGGCTTCGGTGCCTAGCACTGCCATGCTTCTAAACCAGTGAGGTTTTAATAGGATAGTATTTTCGCTGTCAGAATTGCCTTTATCATGATCCAGTCTATGGGATAATGCGTCTGCCCTGATCATAGTTTTACCCGGTTGATGGACTAGGGTAAAATCATAGTTTTGGAGTTCTAGGACCCAGTGCACTTGGCGTTGATTGAGTTTCTGTGGCTTTCTGAAATATTCGAGATTTTTGTGATCAGTATAAATCTCAAATTGCTGTCTTGCACCGCGAAGGAAATTGTCCCATTCGTCGAGTGCTGTCATGATTGCCAGCATTTCTCTGTCGTAGATCTCATAATTATGTTCCGCCGGATTGAGGCTTTTAGATAGGAATGCAATGGGTTTCCATGTATTATTTTGGTTTTGTGAGAGCACTGCTCCTAGTGCATATTTAGATGCATCGCACTCTATGTGATATTGGTCATGGTCATTGGGTACTGCCAGGACTGGTGCTTTTGTAATGGCCGTTTTGAGGGTTTCAAATGCTTCCTGTTGCTCCTGTCCCATGTCCACCCGGCTTGTCCGGTGAGTTTGGTCATGGGTTGGGAGATGGCAGCAAAATCCTTTATGAACTTTCTGTAGAAATTTGCAAACCCCAAGAATTGTTGGATGTCCTTTTTGTTGGTTGGCGTCGGCCATTGCGTGACACCTTGGACCTTTTTAGGATCCATCTGAACGGTTCCTTGACCAATAATATGACCTAAATACTCCGTTTCCTGAGTTTCAAACTCGCACTTTTCTGGTTTACAGGTTAATTTATGCTCTTGGAGGATTTCCAAGACCTGCTTGACAATCTTTCGATGTTCATCCAGGGTTTCGGAGAAAATGAGTATATCATCTAGATACACTATCACTTTTCCTTGCATAATTAATGCTCTGAAGATATCATTCATCATTGTTTGGAAGGTTGCCGGACTATTGGTTAGCCCAAAGAACATGACGAACGATTCGAAAAGCCCCCGATTTGTGATAAAGGTGGCTTTCTCCTCATCTCCTTCCTTCATACAAATGTTATTATATCCCCAGCAAATGTCTAGTTTTGTATAGTATTTGGCATTCTTTAATTTATTGATGAGGTCTGAAATGAGCGGTAAAGGGTATTTGTTTTTCTTTGTCATTTCGTTCAACTTGCGATAGTCCGCATCTTATCATATATCAGTCACATTCACCATAGAATTGTCATGGTCAAGGAGCATCCGTCGTGATGACGTTAGGGGGTAATACATGAGATACAATTTTATGTAGTCTATGTAGTGGGGCGACTCGGGTGACAAGCGAGGACCTGACCAGTCTGCTGAGCCTGGATGCTGCTGGAGCGTTGCAGCTCCTGAGAGTTTATCTTGATCATCCTGCCGAAGCCAACCTTGCATGCGGCCCTCCGGATGAAGTGAAACACGACTGCTGT